AATCTCAAGGGGAGAATTTAGGAGGAAGGATTGCAGCATGGCTATTCCTTCGGGATGGGGGGGAGTTATCTCTTGCTTTCTGTCTCTCCATCTCTCTCTGTCTTCCTGGGAAGCACACATGCCTTATAACAAAAATCTTTTTTAAAAAAGACCAAATGTTTAAAATTAAATATAAAAGGAAAATGCATTTGCAGTATATATGAAAAATAGAAGCGTGTTTAATTTGAGAGTAGTTATTTCAAATCCAGAAGGAAGACTATCAAACTGAACAAAGATGAAGTTCATTGATGACATAGATAAAGTAATTTACATGAAAAAAGATATAAATGATCAAGTGGTATAAACAGAGTCAAAATGTCAACCTGAAACACCTAAATTTAAAAGACCTCACTTTTTCTTGTTTCAGGAACTGAAATGTAATTTTGTGGATAAGATCTAGTACTATGAAGTGTGCTGGAAAATATTTCTAGCATACAGTGTTTGGGACAAGTATAACCTGATGAACTATTTTTGAAGGATGATGCAACAATATTTAAGAAAAATTTTATGCACATTTATTTATACATAAATTCTACATCTATGTTTTTAGCCTCAGGAAATAATTGCATATCACAAAATATTTTATGAGCTAGAAAAACAATTATGGAAGTAGTAACAATATTAAATATTGAAAATAATTTAAATCAATGTGGTACTCATTCAATAAGCACTTGTTTTTGTTTGTTTGTTTTTAATTTGCTAGCAAGCATGTGCCCTTGCCAGAGAGCAAGAGAAAGAAGTAACACAATAAAGCCCCCCATGGAGATGGTCATGTGGTAGTACCTTCTCCTCCATTCTTCTTCAGATTGTCGGCATACACACACATACACCTGGCATGTTTTTCAAGTCATCAGGTTGAGGACTCAAACTATACAGTTGGCCCATGGTGGGTTTCAGATCCAACCCCCTGAACCACCATACCATGGTCTGGACCCAGTAAACATTTTTGAAAAAAATGAGAGATTATTATATTGGCAGGTGAAATTTTCACAATATATTAAGTGGAATCATATATGTAGTATAGCTCATTTATATAAGAAAATACTTTTCAATTTTTACAGCTATGTGTATATTACAAAGGAACTTCCATTTTCCATTAACTTCATCATGGTCACAAAACAAAACTCTATCTTCTTTACATGTGGTTTGATTTCCAACAATGAGAAAGTTATTTTTGTAACTGGAAAAATAAAATTATTTTCATTTTGAAAAATCAATAAGGAATTAAATTTCTCTTTTATTTTGGGTTTAACAGTATGTACATATATTTTTAACATGTAAGACATATGAGTTCAAATGAAACTCTGAATGGTTAGTGTAAATATTTATCTCTATGCTGTTTATATTTTCATGTTAAAAATCTATGCTTACACTTTTTATTTTTTTCTTCCATATGGCACATGGGTATGAGTCCTTAGTGGAGGTTAGTCACCCCATAATCCCTGTTCTTCTATTCCTCCTTCCTGTCAGAATCCTGGACAAGTGTGCCCATGTGCCCAGCATGTTTTCTCAAGCCACCAGGACTGGGATTAGAACAATGGTTAGTCATGTGGGATCCAGCTTCCTCCACAAAGCACTTACCTATGCTACAGGGCCAGCTCTATGCTTAAATATTTAAAAACCTTTGAGTACCCTTATAAACATACCCTAAACTTCTTTCACTGAGTACTGTCATTTTGTTCCTGTCACATCCATATAGACAAAGGAGGCAGAAAATGTTCTTATTTTTCATTTCATAGGGTGACTCTCAATCTCTTCAAACCATTAAGTCTCCTTTGAAATGTTTTACTTAAAAGAGTTAAGATTGCTCAAGCCACTGTCACCCTTTACAGATGAGGTGAATTTTCTCTTTTATTGTCATTATTGTTTTAAATCATGTTGAACTGGAAAAGACAGTGTTATAAATGAATGGCTGACTTTTCTTTAAAGTTAACGAGCCAATTCCCAGATTTAGCTCAGAATATTTTATGATGATGGTGCGATATGGAGGTGAGTATGCATGGGTATGCGTGCATGGGCATATACTCTAAGTATATGCATGTGCACATATGTTGCATGCCCATGCACATAAACACATGTATGTCTTTTTTTTTTGGGGGGGGGAGAGATATTTGCTATAGGGTGTGCGTGCTTACCAGAAAGACAGAGAGAAACAGAGAGACAGAAAGTGAGAAATCACTCCCCAGGGGGGATGGCCATGTCACAATCCCTTCTTCTCCATTCTCCTCTTGGGATCTTGGACATGCATGCACACATGCCCAGTGTGAGTTTAAGCCATGGGTCTGAGACTTGAACTGTGGTCAGCTACATGGGAGTCCAGCAACATAGCCCTTACACTAACTGCTGGTTCCTACATGCATGTCTTTATGTGTATATATGCTTAGATTGTGTAGTGAATATATGTGTATGCTGATGCATATCTTGAGTGTGCATGACATCATACAAAAGGCAACTCTCTAAGAATCCAATATGCACAGTGTGTTTACAATGAAGCAAATATTTAGACCTTCCCACTTACAGATAACCCTGTGGGTGACCCAAAGTTGTTAATCATATGTGAAGGACCACTGTAAGATCATTGTTAACATCAGCAGCATCATCTCTGAGGTCAAGTTTACAGGGTAATTACATTTCTGACAATGCAGGCATATGAGATTTTCATGGATCCAATGTTCTGTGAGACTAAAGTCCAAATCTTGATAAATGGATTTCATGCAAAATTTATTTATTCCGAGATGTTAAAATGAAAAATGATGTGTTTGATTTTACATGATAGCATCACAAAACTGTTTCTCCTAACTGCTTCAGTTCTTCTCCAAACTGCAAACTGTAAATGCACAAAGAACAAAAAAATAGACTCATGAACTGAAAAGATGCTAAACTCAGTCCAAAAGGCATGATAATGCTGAAAGGCTAAGGACATCTAAGATGTTTAGTTTATTATTTCGTCTCTTTTGATTACTTGAAAAGTGCAGAAATCTTAAAGAGGTAGGAATAATATGTGGTTTATGAGAGTTGCACCTTTTTTTCCCCCCATCTCATTTTTCTACATTTAATTTCCTTCTGTATGTCCTTCTTTCTATTTGCTTTTTTGCTCAGGTATGAAAAAGATAAGCAAATAGGAATGTTTATAGATTTGTAAACTGATTGAATATGTCAGAAAGAAATGTTTTTCTATGGTTCTTTTATGTTTTCCTTTAGTATTTTTGTCTTACAGTTCCATATATCTTTAAATTGTGAAGGTACATCTTTTGTGTGTTTTGAAGAAAATAGTAATAAAAGAGGTACAATCCTGCCTTGGGGGAATATTTATAAATCAGTGCTGAAGAAGATTCTACTTTACTGCCATGAATCATCTGCTTTGTCCAGAACATTTACACATACACGTATAGAAATGTGAGGTAAAAAGTTATGGTATTACCGAAAGAAAAAAACCTTTCCCTCAGGAGCCAGCAATGTATAAACCCAAGTAAATAATCCAGGTTAAATGAAGGGACAAATCTCATTCAATATGGCATGCACATTTTGATACATTATTACATTTCATATTTCTTTAATATGTGTGGAACAAAAGAATGAAAGAACTCAAAGCAAGAGTCTTATGTTGCAAGAGATTTCCTTTCTCAGGAAAATAGAAAAGAGATCTGGGTCCCATATGGTCAACTGCAGTTCAAATCCCAGCCTGGCAGCTTAGAGAACATGTTGGGAATGTGTGCCCGAAATCGCGCGTGTGTGTGTGTGCCCGAAATATCAACAGGATGTAGACATGCAGAAGGAGGGATTGTGACATGACCAAGCTCCACTGAGGGATACTTTCTCCCTCTTCCTCTCTCTCTTATTAGCACACATGCCCTTCCTGTCTCTCCTATGAGCATGTGCGCCCTCTGGCAAAGAAAAAAACAGCTAAAATAGGTCTAAATCTCTGTAGCATATCAAATTGCAGCGCTGACCTTGGGTTTGGATCCTTAGCCTCATCAACTTGAAACATGCCAGGGCACATGTGCTCAAGATTCTGACAAGCTGGAGCACTATGGGGAGGAGTTCATGGGGTATCCAGACCCTATTAAGTGTACTTTCTCTTTCTTTTTCTCTCTTCTGTTTCTCATGTACATGCACAAGCTCCCTAACATAAATAAAATAAATAAACAACAGCAGAAAAATAGTTAAAATTTAAGTCAGTTCATAAATTATGACCCTATTTTATGAAAATTGCTAGCTTGAGTTGCCTTAAGTCCTTTCTGGAACAAGTTGGAGAGGTACAAATAAATTGGTTCACTGACTACTTCACTGCAAAGTAGGGTATTATAAATAGATTAATTCACTGACTACTTAATTCAGTTAACTAATCATGTTGTCATCTTAAGAGTTTATAAGTTTTTTTTAAAAAAATAGCTTTGGGCCAGCCATTGGCATGGTGATTAAGGCACTGGATCCAACAGAGCTGACCATGAAGTTTGAGTACTGGACCCAGTGGCTTGAAAAACATAAGGGTGCGTGTGCATGTGTGCTCAAAATCCCGAGAAAAGAACAGAGGAGAATGGATTGCTGCACGGTCATCCCCTGTCGGGGGTGATTTCTCACTTTCACCCTTTCTCTCTCTCTATTTTCCTCTCTACAGTAAGGACATTTAGAAGAAAAATAAGGAGGCAAAGCATTAATGGCACAAAGAAGTGTGGTATTATCTGTTGAAGATATTTTGTAGTTCTATCAAATGTACTAGGGAGAAATGTTCACCTGTTGAAATATCCATTTTGTAAGCCAAATAATAATGTGATTGAATGTACAAAAGAAAATGAAATTAAAAAATAATAATAATTAAAAAAATCCTACTCTCCTCCTTCTTGAAGGTCGGGATAACAGGGCAATGATTCTGATGTGTTATTATTTCTATTTGGTTCAATGTGGCATGGGAGAAAAATTTTAAAGATTCCATATTTTAAATGTCTGGATAATGTACTTACTACAGTTTTCAGCTTTCCTATTGTCCCGAATCACTATTCTTTGGTTGATCGTGCTGAAGAGCGTAGTCCAATTAATGGTATGATAATAACACAGGTTGCTGTTGTCGGTAATATAGATGTTTCCTGCGCTAATTTCCTTCAGGGACTGAAACTGAAGAGAGGTGATGCCCTGTTGCTTGAGGATAAGCAAGGAGAGGCCACTAAAGAGGGAAGAGACGGAAAATGGAAAAAAAATAATAAATATTTTCTGGCCATAAAATGAAGATGTCAGATCTCATTCCAAAAAGAATGTTAATGGAGCATAAATAGACGTTGAATCAATAAATGTATGCTCAGAATATTTTCTTCTTTACACATTATAAGACTGTCAATTTAAGCATATAGTTTGACTTCTATCAGTAAAATGTCCATTTGTTTAGAATTATGAATATTGACAACATGAAGCTTCTTCAAAAGTTTATGGGAAATTCATATCATGAAAAAGGCGGTAGATTTTAAAATTTTTTTCATCAAAATAAATTCATGCCTTAATTCCATTTTTCTAAGAAATTTGGAAGTCCCCTTTTATATGTTTATTTCTATACATGTATTTACTACCAAAATATCTGTTTTCTCTCCCCCAGTCAAATAATAAAAATCTTGTATTAATACTAAATTCATTTTTATAAAATGATTGCTCATCTACCCAAAGTAAGATACAAATTTTACTATAACTATGTAAGAGGTTTAGACAAGCTTTCTGATGGCAACATTAAATGACTATGGTATAGATATTTAGTTTTAATTTATAACTCAGAAACCAAAGAATTATAATAGTTTAAGAATATATAAGCTCATAAGACATTAAAATTAAAGTGAAGAATAAAATTAAACTAAAATTAGAAAAATACTCAGAAGGCTTAAGCAACTGGGGAAAACCTCCCTAAAAATTAAAGAACAACTACTCTGTATAAACCAATTATCATTTCAAGGAAATTGTTTTTATTTTAACATAGTTAACATTTTTGTAATTATTTTTCTTTTCTAGTCTGTAAATAATAAATATGCTTTTTCACATTTCAATCAACTAATAGACATTATTTATATTTTGAAGATCAAAGCTCTCCCCCTTTTCAAAATAATTTTATTTTATAATTAATGTATACTTTGCTGTTAATATTTAAAATTGTTTGTCATGTGAAGTGTTGTGCAAATGTGCCATTGTTTGACTATGTGCCATTGTTTGACTATGTCCCCTGCCCATATTTGTGTGTTGAGCCATTGTAATGGGATTATGAGATAAAAACTCAGTCCAACATGGTGTGGAACAGTGGGGCTCTTGGGATGAGACTAGGATAAGGCCATAACAGTGGGGCCTCCGTAGTTGATTCTTGGTGGGTTTATAAGAAAAGTGATATGCCTATGTTGTGCTGTAGCCAGAAAACCTGCATCAGTGGCAACTTTATTATTTACCTCCAAACTATGAACTAAATAAACCTCTATTCTTAAAAATCACACAGCTTTGGGACCAGCAGCCTAATGGCTATGTCGCTGAACTCCCATGTAGTCGACCACGGTTCGCGTCCCAGACCTGGTGGCTTAAACTCATGCCAGATGCATGTGCATGAGTGCCCAAGATCCGGAGAGGAGAATGGAGGAGAAGGAATTGCAGCATGGACATCCCCCTCAGGGGGATGATTTCTCACTTTCTATCTCTCTGTCTCTCTCTGTCTTTCTGGAGAGCGCATGCGCCCCACAGAAAAAAAACTCTCAGGAAAAAAAAAAAATCACCCAGCTTCAGGTATTTTCTTTTATTAGTCACAGAACAGAATAGAACTCTGTGTGTATGTGTGTTCAATGATAAAGACTGAGATACAATTCATTCTCCCAAATACTGCTCCCACCTTAAGTTGGTCGTTACAATGCAATGTATTGTATCAATGCAATGTATTGACTGATTTATAACATTTTATTCATCGGGTATAAAACTTGTTTGCAAATAACACATTTGAATAAATTGGATCCCTCAACTCTCCTTTTTTATTAAGCCCCTTTCCCCTTTTTTGAAATATCTTACTAATATATCTGCATTTTCTACAGAACTTCATTATAAAATATTCAGTGATAGTATTGCTTTTACACATCATTCAGATTTAAGCAGACAAATTAAACATAAATCTCCTTATGTAAATCAACTTTTAATCATTTTTGAATAAGACTTCATAAAAATGAAATCTGTGATAAATTTAAAATAAAAGTCATGGCTTATTAAAGACTAAGATATTTATTTTTATCATGTGAATTTAAAATATGGAGATTAGAATTTTAGAACAATGTCCTTTTAAACTCTAATTTTCCTGTCCATTTATTAACCAGCATTGCATGAAGAGTGGTGGTCTGGTCTCTCAAACATCAGCCTTATGATGCATGGTTCACATGACAGTACTAGAGACAAAAACATCCTTTTGATACAACACCATTTATATCTCACACTCCTTAGACATTACCAGGTCACCAAACTCTCTTGTATTTGTGATAACATATGATCCAAAAGAAAGTTCAGCTTCATGATACATATCACATATTTCATACCTGCAAACCACTAAGTGATAGGCTGATTAAGCTATTCATTCTATATACTTTATATCATCCTTATAGGTGTCTTTATTGAATTATCTTTGGAATTAAAGGTGAGACATAATATTCACAGAATCTTTAAAACAATAAGACTGAATCTTTTGACTTAATGCACACACAGTGCTACTCTTAGAATTTGGGACACCTACAGCTTTAAGCATATACACTTACCTATAGAGCACTCTTCCACCAATGGTCACTAAGTTGGAAAAAACACTAAAGTCGGTCATGTTTGGGGGCCATGACTGTATGTTCAAGAAACCTACAAATGGAAAGACAGTGAATATAAATCAGAATATCATTGTCTTAATAATACAATACTGAATAAATAATTGATATTAGAATAATGAGTAGCATGAATCCACGAATCATAAAACTGTACATGTTACAAGAAGCAAATGACAATTTGGTTTATTCTTAGAAATGCAAAAGAAATGTAGTCACACTAGATAAAGAGAAAAATATAATTTCAGCTTCTCTAAAATTGTTTACCACTTTATCTGTCCATTTATGTCATCAGTATCTAGCTTGCAATCTAAGGCATTTATAGTCATTTCCGACTTTGGCATTGGATTTTACATTCTTTGGTGGCAAATCATGTCCAATTCATATATCATACAATAATAGCATATATTAGGTGTTCAATAAATATGTACCAAATGAATGCTATACCTATGCTTCAAAGTTCTTTTATGAAAAAGTAAATAGAAATCTAATGAACATTGGTTTATGGGACCAGCAGTTGGCATAATGGCTATGTTGCTGGACTCCCACGTAGTCGACCGCAGGGTTTGCAGATCAGTTGACACTTGCAAAAACAGTATTGCAAAAAATTAAAAGATATGATAGTTTAGTAATTAATTTCATGGTCTTTCAAAATGTGCACATAAGTGGAGAGGTAAGACAGATCATGTTCAAAATTACATGAGTTTTTGTTTTTTTTCTTTAATTGCCAGAGGGTACATGCACTCACCTGAGAAAAAGAGAGACAGAGACAGAGAGAAAAAGTACTCTCTCTAATGGTCACATCACAGTCCCTTCTCATCCATTTCTCCATCCTCCTGGGATTCGGGGGTGCACACACACGTGTGCTCATGTATTTTATTTTAAAACTGCTGGGGCAGAATTCAACCCATGCTGAACAACGTCAGATCCAGCACTTTTAGCTACTAGGCTACAAGGCTGGCTTGAAAATGATATGGGGGTTTTACAAATTAAAATTTGCTTTTAAAATAAGTAGCTGATTCTAATTTCATGTAATGTTAGAAAAACACACACACTGAAAATCAGATAATTCATATCACAGCAATTGCCTTCAAAAAATTACCTGTTATCTCTCTGACTGTCCGAAAGATATTCAATTTCTCTGGGTCTATGGCTTCAATTGCATTGTAAGGGTCTCTGAAAAAATCAAGAAAAGATGGAGCGAAATTTAAAATTTGATAGAGGAGTGAAAATATGAGAAATGTGATGATAGTTATTTTCTTCAAACCGTATTTTAATTAGCAATAAAAAGGTTAGCAATGTTTTGTTTAAATTGTTCTATACTAGATGTGGAAGGGGATTAATAAGTGTTTTTTGGACATTTTTGTTGACACGGAATATAAGTTTTGCACAAAATAATATTCTAAATCAACAACAATGGATTCATTTCAATTTTTCTGAATAAATTTCCAAAGATAGCAAGTCCATATGTGAACTATTTTATTTTATTTTGATTATGAATGTTTATTCTTAATTCAGAATAGAATCTGAAAAATAATTACATTTTATTGAGAACACTTGGTTTTCAAGTTCTTCAAACCAGTCCAAGTTGCAGATAACACCTGTAGCTCATAAGGATGGAATCACACAGAGGCGAAGGGGAAAAACATTACTATACTCTGCATTTATCTGTTTGAGAATGATCATCATGTTCATTATAGTACATATACTTATTCTTCATATAGATTATTTACAATTATCTTACTCCTATCTGGTTTGTTTTTACTCGTTTTTTAACAGAAATTATTTGCTTCCATTTCTATGAATTATATTGAGATTTGAAAATAAAATTTACAACAAATGTTATAGTACACAAAAGATATAATTAGGGGAGATTTTTTAAAATTTCCTAATGCATGCACATATTTTTGGAATATGTATTATTGACATAGGACTGGATTTTTAAAAATAAATATAAACTATTTTTTAATATTTAATATCAAATGGATTTTTTTCAGGATTTCTTATGTTAGGGAAAACTTTTCAGGTAAATGTACTGACCATACAAAATAATCGTATATTTGAATATGAAGCAAAACCTAAACACAAATCTTTATCAGTAATCAAAAAAATCAGATTTTTAAAAAATATACTCTTAATAACAAGATCAAATTTTTCATTGTCCATTTCTCTAAGAGAAATCAAACCATCTAAGAATAATGAACTTAGGCTTATTTTTTTAGAGGTATGTGTCTGCTTGTAGCAATTAAATGATCATTTTTTTTCTTCCTGTGGACAACTGTTGTTTTATCAGTTTTAGAATGTTCTTTTTGAAATGGGGCATACGATGGTCCAGGGAGTATAATCTTTTTCTAAAGAATTATTTTATATAACTTCATTTATTTACTTATTTTCATTTGACCAGAGAGGGACAGAGTCAGGTAGAGGGCATGGGGGAAGTGAGAAAGCAAGCCACCAGGTCAGGTCCTCAAACTGCAGTCAGTCATGTTGGAGTCTAGCACCCGTAACCACCGTGCCACTTGACGGCCCCATGTTGAGTATAATCTTTCTGGGGCTTTCAATGTAAGTGCTTCACAATATTCTGACAGGTAGATATATGGCCTATCTCCTGGCACTGAGTCTAAATCCACTGGCATTTCTTCATCCCAGCATTAAAATCTTGAAGGGACTATTAGTTCTGGCATCCTTGATCTCTGGAAAAGCCACATAATGCTTTCTGAACTTGGTTGGTTGGGATGTTCTATACTATCAACTACCCCATATCTTTGTTAAAAAAAAATCTAGCTTGATTAGATTATTGTTTCAAACTGAGAAATACAATGCACTACTAGTTTAACTAATGTAGTGTAACTTGATAACAAACAAACATAATTTCTTTTTTTTTTTTTTTTCTGTTTTTTGCTATAGGGCTCATGCACTTGCCAGAGAGGGACAGAGAGAGGGAAAGTAAGACATCACCACCATCACCCCCCACCCCCCCGAGAATGGATGGCCATGCCGCAATCCCTTCTCCATTCTCCTCTCAGGATTTTAAGCATGCATGCATATATGTCCAGCATGATTGTCAGGCTGCCAGGCCAGGAACTCAAACCATGGTCAGCCATGTGGGAATCCAATGCTTCAACCAACATACTACTTCCTGGTTCCAAGACAAATACAATTTCAACTTCTCTAAAATCCTTTATTACTATATCTGTCCATTGATGACATCAGTGTCTACCTTGAATTTTAGCCATTTATAGTCATATGTAATCTTCTCTTTATGGTTCAAATATTGAGTAGTTCTGAGACTGAAGAAACACTGTGAATATATTTTCCTATAATTCACACATAAACCATTGGTTTAATTGTCTCAATGTCAAATGAATATCTCGGAAAAGCCTAAAGACTATATTACATGTCTGACAAACCTGCTTTCATTATAAGGAAAGATATATGGCATACATAATTACTATTTTTATGACTATGAAGCTAAAAAATTAAGTGCACCATATGGGAATACTCTTGCTGTCCTCACCTTTTAATGTGCAAAGACTTGCTTGCAGAGGAAATATCAGCTCTGCAGTTGGAGAATGAGCTTTCAACATTTGCTCTGATGAAAAGCAGTGTACAGTACAGCTCAAGCCAAATAATCAAATATCCTGGGTGTATTGAGAAAGACTCACTATTCAGGGCAAGCACACAATAATGGGGTCAGTCCAAGTCTTTACTGAGAACACTTCCAGGTTGCCATAAATGAAATGAATTCAGGACCGTTAGCATGAAGCCCAATGGACCACAGAAATTTTATATTGTTAATTTTAGAGATTCAAGACTCTCATAAAATAAGCTGACAGAATTCCACTTACCAACTATAAAGTACCTCTTGGGAGTTTCATCCTATAGCCACTTAAAGTCTCTAATACTTTTAAATTGCGAAGTTTTCTACCTAAATTCAGAGCCACGTGAAGAAACATTATGTCTACCCTATCACTGTGTTTGGTGATCCAAAATAAAATTCAAGATAAAGAGAAAGAAAGGTATTTTCACAATTCTACTAAAATCACTTTATTTATTAGCAAACCTATGATCTTTCTTCCCTTGTTTATCATCATTGCAGTCGATCCAGTAAATTCCTTCTCACCAGTGTCTCACAGTGACCCAACATCAACACACTTATTTGGAGAGCCTTTGGTTACTCTAAGCACACACATGAAACAGTGTAAAACCTAAAAAAGCACAAAAGTAAACATTCGTATTGATAGCCCTAACCACTAAGCCATGCTTACAATTTCCACTCTAAATAAGGAAACAAGAGCCTATCTCTAATCCTGGCAATGGCATATTGTGCTATAAAATCAAAATGACAATTAACTTTATGAGCCCTTCCATATATTAATTTCTTAACTGAAAAACTGCCATTAAATTGATTTCAGGTGTATATTGTTTTGGAAAAGCATAATTTAATTTAGTTATAATTTTTACCTTTGTACTTGTTTAGAGAACTGTCAGCTATTTTAATCAAATCACAAAATAATTTTTTAAAGTAGCTAGTAAATATTAAGGGGAATTGGAACCAAGAGAGGTATACTATGTCTTCAATTTACCAGAAGTTGTCTATTTATGATACTCCATATTATTTTCCTTTATAATCATGCTTTTTCCTTCTTCTTCTAATACACACATATATCATATTACATACATAAACATACCTAGACCTGTACTTATATAAGATGGCTTGAGTCTACTGAATTGGCATATCCATACTTTCCCAAGATGAAGGGGAAAAAGGCTTCAATATATATGTTTCATGTTGACATAAGACTAACAATGAGGAATATATCAAATTTCACATATCAATCTTTGTTCTGAAATGCTTATATATTATGCTTGGGACACAATAATGTTAATTGTTTATTCTAATATTTCAGGTGTAAGTTCTATGATTAAGTACATATAATCATCTGAACCAAGCACTATATATCTTAAAGAAAGTTTTGCTTTTATTTGGTTTCCAAAATAGCCTATAAAAAAAGCTAAAGTCAAGCCAATAAAATAATATTTGTTGTAATATATCTTGTTTAATAAACTAGATATACATACATTTTTTTTCTTTTCCATTGCCTTCTCCTGCTTTTAGAATTTTTTTCTTCTCTCCATCTCTCCATCTTTCTCTTCCTCATCCTCCTCCTACTCTCCTTTACACCATTTACCAAGAGCTTACAATATTCCAGGTAGTAGAATGAGAAATTCAAAATTGATTTTTAGACATTTTAGCCTAACACTATGTGTGCTCGCCATAAAGAGAGAAACAGAGACAGGGAGGGGGAAAGTGAGAAATCACTCCCTAGGGGGGATTGGTTACATCACAATCCCTTCTCCTCCATTCTCCTCCTGGGATCTTGATCACACAAACACACATATCCAGTGTGAGTTTCAAGCCACTGGATCCAGGACTTGAAATGCAGTTGGCCATATGAGGGTCCAGCCACGTAACTACTACCCAACTGCTGGCCCACAAAACCATCTTAAGTTGAGGTTAAGTCACTTTTTCTTTTCCATGATCAAGAAAGGGAGAGATAGAGACAGAGAGACATTGAGAAAGAGAGACAGAGAGATAGATACCCCAATGGGGTCTTTATACCATGGTCTTCCCCTGGCCCTTAATCAGTCCTCCCACATGGGTCCCTCACAGAGCATTGTGTTACTGCTGTGCCAATACACAGACTCCAAAATAATTGTCGTTGAGATCAGGAGGTGGCATAGGAGTGATGGATATAGAAAAGGTCCTCAGTTCAAGTCTGGAAGCCTTGCCATGCACCTTGGGTATGCACACACACACATTCCCATGACCTGGGCCAGCTGAGACTGGAGGTGGATGGCAGCATGAAGACCCTGTTTTCGCTATGGTCTCTCTCTCTCTCTCTCTCTCTCTCTGTCTCTCTAATGACATAAATGAATAAGCAAACAAAACAGAAAATAAAAAAAAATTTTCATGGATACCAGCAGGTGGTAGAGTGGTTAAAGTGTAGGACACCCACATAGTTGACTATAATTAGAGTCCTGGACCTGGTGGCTTAAAATTGTGTGTGTGCCCAATATTCCAAGAGAGGAATGGAGGAAAAAGGAGAAAGGATCATAGCATGGCCATCCCTCACTGGAGGGTGATATCTCACTTTCTGTCTTTCTATCTTCCTCTGTCTCTTTGCTGAGTGCAAATGCTCTATAGCAAAATTTTCTTTCAAATAATGATAATAACAATAATGATTTTCATTTCCCATTGCTACAAGAATCACAGGAAGTAGATACTTATTATTAATCCATTCCTCAATTTTATTTTTGTAATCAGATATAGTTTTTGGCATGAAGTTATCCAAAATAGTGCAAACTGTCCACAGTAAAGCTGCAAATCAAACTCCAGTCTAGTCTGGATAGCTACCCAAAAAGAAAGTCTAACTTTTATTTTTTAAGTTTATTTTTAAAACTGGCTTTATTTATCCTTCTACTTCTAACCCAAGTGAGTTGATTTACTTTTATAAATTACTTTTCACATGAATTGAACTAGCAAGACTATTTTCCTTAAAAATCTGGGTAATCTAAAATTTTGCAGTGTGTTATTTTTAAATTTGTGAGCGCATGGTCCCTATTGCACAAAATATGTTTTTATTCCCTGAAATATGTTTCCATTGTTTTGCATTTATTTATTAAAGTATACCCTGCTCAAGGCTATAGGTGAAAAATGTATACATTCATTTTATAACTAGTATAATTCCAGAATTTAAATAAATCTGTTACAAAGCTAGATTAAAATAACTATTCCAAACCTCTCCAGATTGAGGCTTTTTCAAACCTTCCTACCTATGTTTCATCCAAAAGTATTTTTATCATTAACATATCACTTTTATTGGTTTATAATCCCTTTCCTATCATGAAATTTTTGCAAGAGTTCTCAATAGAGGCTGTATCACCCCACAAAAGAAAACTGGGACACTTGTAGAGTTATTTCAGTTGAAACAAGCACTGAGGGATACTGTCCATTTTGGTTATAACCCCATCCCAGGGCTGTTAAACACTTTTTATAGCAAATAATTGCCTCCCATCTGTACAATCTTAAACTGTCCCATCAGATACTAAGGACTTCAGTGTGCAAACTTCATGCTTAGTCATACTGTGGGCATGTACAATTCTCTAGTCACCTTACCCTTATCTCCATGAAGTTATGCCCTCTTTCTTTTGACATGTAATATGTCTGGTTAGTTATTTTCTATTTCAGTGGTGAGCTGCTCCTCTACTCTTTATTTCCTTAGACTTTCGACATAGAAAGACTTCTAATCCTTTTTCTCATAAATCCAAACTTTCATTGCAGTGGAAGCTGAGCATTCTGCTACCAATACATATTTTATTATATATCTTTCTCCTCTTTTTCTTCTTTCAATTACAACTAGAGAATCATGATGATATTTTTAAAAATTGTGTATGTAGCTAGGCTATATTATCTACACATGTTATTTCAAAACTGAAAGGGAAGTGTCAAATGCTTAATGTATAAATGGGAGATGTCAGGTCTGGCAAGGATGAAAACCACTTGTCTAATGCAACCCATGAGGATTTGATTTCAAATCATTTTCTACACCGATAGGCTTGAGTCTAATTCACTTATTATTCTCATGTGGAGAAAGGTAATGTGAGTCAAGTGAATCTATTGTAGTTACTTCTCAGAGGACTTTATTGACATGATATAATGATTAACTTATGATGATATTTAGATTTTAAAATAGTGAAAATATAGTATATTATTTTACTAAATGTCATATGTGCATTACATTATAAGAACACACTTAAAGATTGACCCAGGTCTCCAACTCAATGTGCAAAGGAGGCTACAACAGCAGTGTAAATGAATCCTGGGGGAGCAGGGACTCTGACAGTCAGTTGAATGTGTCCCAACTCAAAGTAGCTAGTACTACCCAGCTCCAACAGACAATTGCCCTGTAGGAATTAAAAATGTACTCTCATTTTAGAGAGATGTTGGAAATCTTAATATTTGTGTATAAAAATAAAATTTCTTGTGCCAGATATAACAAATTTGGGGCAGAGTACATACATACTATTACCCTGTCTGACATGAGACTGTATTAAAGTTACATTTTACACTGAAGAGGACTTTTATGCAATAATATATGTAATGATTTATTTGAATAAGAAGAAATACTTCATTTTACTGTTCCTGCTGTTCCTATTTGGACATGTATATTCATAACATGTTAAAATTATTTTGCTTCTAGAAATGATGCAATATATGCTCAGAGAAACATCTTGAATTGAAATACGTGAATGATATTCTTTATCTGTAGCCTGTAGCACTAATATTTAGGGATAAAGTGGTAATATAGATAAACAGATATAGTATAAAGTAAAAATATTGACATTTTTATTACAATTCAAGGACTACAAACTTGAATGTTTTCTCTGTTCAAGCCAGCAGGTGGTTATATATTGAAAAAGCCCAGACAGGGCTACAATTTTATTACAGAAATGTAACTCATTTAATAGATATTTTACAGTAGTCTTAGTTCCCAACTCACAAAAAAGAGAAAGAAAATTAATGTATCAAGACAAAGATCATGCCTGAAAGAGGCATCAGAGAATTTCAACTTATGGAAGTATTTTATGTGAGTTTTTCCTTGTTCAAAGGACAGTAATTTATGTTGTCTTAACCTAATCAGATAGAAATTTGAATGAAATCCCCCACCTTACCCATTAGAGTTTCCCTAAACGTATCTAAAAATAAGTCAAGCTTGCTGAAAACCACTGCAAATACATTTTAGTTTAAGTGCAAAGTTAAATGTTCAAACCTAAGTAGTCACTCAACTCAAAATGTGGATGCAGCCAAAACCCTTTACTATCACCTTTGGTGAAATCTGACCTTTTTGTTGGCAAAGAACACTAAGGAAAGACAAAAAAGTTTCTTGGTCAAGAGGAATCAAAGAGACAAAACTAAAGAATCTCTTCAGCTTTTTTACTTTGTAATACAATTTTATAGAAAAATGTAATACTGACCCATGAATACCGGTGACAAGGAAGATCAAATTCCCATTGATCTTAGTGCAGTTTATGAATTTGTCAATATTACTTGAATCCACAGTCTGAGCGGACATCAGTGACCCTGTGCCAATGCCATCACAAGCTGTAAAGAGAAGACTCACATTCAGGAGGTGGAGAAACTAATTTCTGGCCAATACTTCTTTGCATTTTCATCATAAATTAACATAAATTCACTTTATCCTAAAGTGAAAAATATTTTTCCGTGCTATAGTCCAGTGAAGATGCTCATTTTAAGAATTAAGTTTTATATCAAGACCCAGTTGATGCACACCACACTTAGGTAACTAAAATAAAACCTGCATTAATCAATACTTCACCTTACTATCTAAAATGACCTCTTCTTTAATCCATTCTAAAATATTATTTTTAATACTTTTAAATGCTGGTCACTTTTGTAAAAAGTTTTATGGGCTATTGATGGTCAATTTCAACCTATAATTTAAAAAACATTAGCCTAATGGAATATACATTTTAAATAAAGAATACTAATGATAGGAGTTGTAACCAGAGTCAAGAATCATTCACATCTTTAAATTTAAATTAAATATTATCAATAGTGCACACAGAGAGAGAAGAAAGGAGTGAGAGAGTGAGAGAGAATGTAGTCTAAAAGTCAATACAAGGTTCTTCCTTTTCTAAGGCTCTCCTTGATACTTTGAAAAGCTTAATAACATTTGAACTATTTGGACTGTACTTTCATTCTTCTTAATTTAGGTCTCATTCTGGTAAAGAATTTGAACAATTAGTACTGGGAGAGAGTTCTTCTTTCACTAGAATTCTATAGCATAAATTATCTGCAACGTTTTTTGGCAACATATATTTAACATTTATGGTTATCTTCTTTGTCATTTATGTGTCTATCTTTCAAAATATTTTTTAAGACCTGGAGAGTAAATGTTATGTTGCATGTTCCTTGGCATTCCTTTCTACCTTTAGCAGGTCATTTTGTGTAGAGTAGCAAAACACACACACACACACACACACACACACACACACACATACACACATACACACAAAATATATGTTGTGATACTAAAATAACCATGTGAGGTCAACTGTGGTGGTGTAGGCAGCAGGTTGCTGCTGCATGATACTGGAGCTGAATGTGAGGCTGGGATTAGATTCCTGGTTTACCTAAGCACACTGGGTACATACATACAAGCCTGTGATCCTGGTTGGGAGGAAGGTTGTAGAAACCATCACAGTGCACTAAGATCCTACCTGGTGTACCTGTCTCTCTCTAAAAATAGTAAGATAATAATAATAATAGGCAAAATAATCACTGTAAGAATCTTTGTTTTATTACAAATTTTAAGATTTACTAATAATTATGTCATGTTATTTCTGAGTTCCTATAAAGTGAACTCATGTATTTTGAAACCTTTAAGACACACTATTACAACAGTTGATATTTTGGGGAACTTATCAAAGTCAGAAAATGTGTGTGGGAATGTTTGGCTGCAGGAGTAGGTATGTTCTGAGAGCCAAACTTAACTTTGCCTAAAACAAGATGAATAGAAAACCTTTGTATAAGTCCCTTATTTTAACCAAAATAATTTGAGCTATCACTCACCTTTTGGGCAGATATCAGTGCAAGGTTTACACATCTTAATCCCATTTTCTTCTACTTCCATCTTGGAACTTGGGCAGGCACGCACACAAGAACTGGAATCTACCACAAAGTTGTCTGATTAAAAAGGAAAAATAGGTAAAATAAACAATAATGTTAATGTCCATCTAACAAGTTTAAAACAAGATATTTTAGGGTTTGAAAAAATTAGCATCATTGATAGTATTCATCTTCCTCTAAGACAAATCTTTGTTTAAATAACTCAACCTGAAATAGTTATCTCTAACCATCCATGTTCAAATTTGGAGACAGTGAGTCAACAGCTATTATTTGCTTGACTACTACTCTACCTCCTGAATTGCCTGCAAGATAGAGTAGATTTGTTTTATAGAGTGAGGAAACTCATGACATTTAGTTTGTTTTTCTATAGTTCCACTTCATTTCATGTCATGATACAAGTTTGAAGTTTAAAAATACTTCAAATTCATGAAGCACAAATGAAACTTAGGTTAAACTGCCTTGGATTAAGAGAAGGAAATGTTTCAAATGTGTTCTTTTAGTGAAGTGCAACAAAACCTTTCTCATATTTTTATATGAAGAAACTAAATGAGGATACCAGCAATGGAATAATGGCTATGTTGCTGGACTCCCATATAGTCGACCATGGTTTGAGTCCCGGACTTGCTGACGTAAACTCACACCAGGCACATGTGTGTGCATGCCCAAAATCCTGAGGGGATAATAGAGGAGAAGGGATTGAGGCATGGCCATTCTCCCTGGGGGGTGATTTCTCGCTTTCTGTCTCTCTGTCTCTCTCTATCTTTCTGGTGAGTGCATGTGCCCTATAGCAAAAACCTCTCAAAAAAAAGAAAGAAACCAAATGAAATTTGAAAGGTTAGAACTTCAGGAACTGTATACCAAATAGACAAGAAATTTCTTATTATCTAACACTTAGTTGAAACATTTAGAAGTCCAGTGATCTGGGAAATGCCAGGACATCCCCTCCATAGTAAAGGATAAACACTTGCATCTTGCACTTCCTACAATAAAGAAAACATAATACCTACTAGGCCATTCTGGCTTTGAAGATCTGGAACCAATATTCAATGGTACAGAAGGCTTCAAGCCCCAGGGCATTCCCAGAACAAGAAAAGATGCATGGCTCAGATCCAGTTTGTGATGTAAGCAATTCTGCTACTTGGGTCATACAGCCCAAGATGTTCTGTGATACTGGAAGTACCTATAGTGGTAAAACATGCCATATGGAGTTATGGCAAATCCCAACTGGAAAATAATGTCAGAGACCTCTAGGTTTCTAGACTATGGCAAACCATGCCATCTATAATATATGATTGAAAATCATTTAACAAACAGCAGTTCCTGAAATGTTCTGAGTCTTAGTAGAAATAGAATCCACTTAACTGTGGATCATTGACTGATCTTGTAGCTAGAATTGCCCATTATGAGCCAGGCTTTGTAATAACATATCATTGGGTTATCATAACATTGGGCAGGCCCAACAGCAAATCCACTGTAAAATCAATGCAGTAGATTTAGGAATGTATATGAGCTGGGGCAGAGGCAATGTAAACTTCATAAACAGGTGGTTCAGACCTCCAGTATCATCCACCATCGCATTAGCACCTCTCACCTGGCTCATAAATACAGCTGCAAGGGGAACAAGAGAGGGCACTCATGACAAGCTCACAGAGGAGGACAAAAGCAAATTTAGTAGTTGGGTGGAAGGTAAACATGGGTTGCAGCAACCCTGCAGTCTCACTTAGGAGTGCACTTGAAATACAGTGGCAAGAGTGACAAACAAACAGTATAGTTTCAAGTAGTGTAACTGATCACTACATGTGGAAAGAGAAGTGGCCTGACTTTAGAATGGATATTGACTCACTCGGTCTATAAGTAGAGACATGTCTTTCCTTCATAGCCTGGCTTTGGTTGTAAATACCATATATTAGGTGGAAAGAAGGTGAGTGAAGGAATAGAGTTTGAGAGAGAACATTGAGGAGAAAAATAGAGTGGCATGACATTAATGGGACAAAGAAATGGGGTATTATCTGTTGAAGATAACTTTATAGTATTATCAGCTGGACTGGGGAAAAATGCACACATGTTGGAATATTCACTTTACAAGCTAAATAATGTGATTGAATGTATTAAAGAACTTGAAATTGAAAAAAATTATCTAAAAAAATAAAAATAATAATAATAATAAATAAAAGAATGGACATTGACTCGAAATCAGTGACTTTTCCCAGAAGAAGAAATACTGGAAAAGCTGGTGTTGAGGGGAGTTTGTGGTGGAGAATTATTATGAATCCATGAAAGTGGGCACAAGTGTGAAGATTTTTATATTCCAGAGAAAATGCATCATAGAAGAAACACTACTGAGATGAGGCCTAACCTTGCTTCCTGCCTCACCCAGGTGTTGATTTTATTGCCTCCTGATAATCTAATCCCTGTCTCAGAGAAACCCAAACTCTAACAGGTAGAGATAGTATATATTATAACCATCCTTTCTACATGGTCTTGGATAATAGCTTTATCTTTAAACACTTTAGGATTTCTGCAGCAATTTGTGTCTACTCAACTAAATAAAGGTCATAATTAGACTATGTCAATTAAGTTCAGGTTCTGTAGCCAAATGCATTTCAGAAAATACATGCTGGTTGGGGATTCTAGAACTTGAAATTCTGGATTAGGGATCATAAATTTGTATTTAAAAGCTAACTGTCCTCATCTCTCAAGAGAGTTTCAGTTTAGCAAACCTAGTCTAATGAGAAAGGCCCATGAGAGATTTTAATTTTATGGTATACAAATAATGGTATACAAATATTGCAATTTTAAATTAATCTGTAGTTTGATACACAAAAACTAATTCAAAAAAAGGAAGTTTGTGAGTAACCAGCTACAAGGTAAAATTGGCATGTATTTTCACATACTATTTCCCCATGTTTAACCACTTGCCGCAACTTAAAAAGTTGAAACTCTGAGATGGACTATTACAAAGGATAAGGTAATGAAAATAGTAATTCTATCACTATTCAGATGTTCTATTACTGTTCAGATGTTCCTGGTACTTCCACTCCAGCCTAAACCCCTACGCTTCAACCTAAGAACCTGAGTAAAAGCAAAAGCACCTTTTTTTTTTTTTTTTGCACAGTTTTATGTCTTCAGAGAAGTCACCATAATTTGAGGGTAGTCGAGTAGAAGAATATTTGTCTAAGAAACATAAAAAATACCATCATCTTGCCATACCCTATAATACCTTCAAGCCTCTAATTTTGCAAGAATAGTGGATAGTGAAATAGCCACTTCAGGAAATAGGTGAGTTTAAATAAAAGGTTAAGATTAAAAAACAAAGAACATTGGTTGGAATGTTCAAGTATTTCCGATGAAAAATCCCCACTCTCCTAAAGTTTAAAATGATAATTCAGAACCATGCTAAATATGTATAAAGAAGCCTAAGCACAATTATTCTTTTAATCAGTATATAAAATTATAAAATGTTTACTAATAATGACTATATTTGTATTTACAGAGACTTTTATATATGCTACCCCTCTGATGTTTGTACACTATCGCCAATAATAGATTATTATAATATAATATTATTACCATACTTATCTTTTTTGTTTTTGTTTTAAGATAGATTTTTGCTGTAGGGTGCATGCACCTGGCAGAAAGTCAGAAAGCAAGAAAGTACACCTGAGGGATGTCCGCACTGAAATCCCTTCTCTATTCTCCTTTTGGGATTTTGGGCATGTATACACATGCACCCAGTGTGAGTTTTAAGTCACTGGGTCCAGGACTTAAACTGTGGTCGACTATGTGGGAGCCCAGTGACATAACCATTACACCATCAGCTGGACCCATCACCCACATCTTAAAGAGAAGGTATGATATAACTTAATGTTTTATTTAAAATCATGTGACTAATAAGTGGATAAAGCCATAATCATAGCCATTCTAATTCCATGTCCCTTAGATGTCCTACTGTGTCAGATAAATAAAGTGAAAAAAAATCACTATATCTGTTGGCTGTAAATTGTCAAGCTCTCTTTTAAATGAGTATGTAGAAAAATGTAGTAATTTTTCATCCTTTCCAATAGGTAAAACACTAATAAAATTTTACATTGATCACTCAAATCAAAGAAATTGACATAAACAAATTTAAAAACATATTTTATACTGAGAGTTTAGCTGGTCATTTTTGAATCCCAAAATAAGTTATCAATTTGCTAAGGATCCTTTAAAATACACATTATACCTATTATTTTTGCTTAAGATTAGATCTGATATTAAAATTATAATGATATGTAATCCTAGTATAAATATTCAGGAATCATTTAAGGTAAAAATTCATTCTTATTAGAAGATATTACCTAGCTTGCAGTCACTTAACTAATCACATTTCTAAGAAGCAGCATGAGATGCAAAACTATTGAGGTATAGAGAAAAATAACAAGAATGAGGAATCAGCCACTCTTTGACTCAAACATACCACTCCTTTACTAAACAATATTAGAACAGTTACTTTGATTTTCTAAATTTTAATTTCTTATTTTTGTAAAATGGAAGCAACAGTGTACAAACCCCAAAATAAACCACAATATTGTTACATAGTTCAAATTGAAAGGAAATTATGAAAAATTCTTTTGTTTTCAAATAATGACTTAATTTACTTGGCTACTTTTATTCTGTTACTTACGTGGGCACTTCTTGACACAGAATGCTCCATAGGTGTATTTTGCATTGAAATTGTGCTCCAGTTGAAAGGTGGTTGGATTGTAGACAAAAGTTTGGGGACATTGAGTTACACATGCTCCACTGTCATTGAAATTCATGCAGGCCTTCAACAGAGAAAATATTACTTTCATTTACAAATAACCTTCATAGAACTTCATAATAAAACACTGACACAACAGTTTTGTGAGAAGGTTGTGACTTTACTCAGTATACAGCAATTTCAAAATACTGCAAAAATTATTTTGAAAGATTTTTGCTATAGGGTGCAAGCAATAACCAGATAGACAGAGAGACAAAAGCAAGAAATCACCCGCCAAGGAATGCCCATGGTACAATCCCTTCTCTTCCATTCTCTTCTCGGGATTTTAGGCACGTATACACTGGCGCCTGGTGTGAGTTTAAGCGCTAGGTCCAGGATTCAAACCACAGACCACTATGTGGAAGTCCAGCAACCTAACATGACACCATCTATTGGTCCCCCAAATTTGATAATTTTATAGTCATTTAAATTTCTAAAATTCTATAAAACATTTTTTCCAGTGTCAATATGGACATTATTCATAGTTACTGAAATTCAAATTGCTTAGAATCTTGCCACTAATTTCTATATTGAGAATTAATTTAAATGATTAAAGTTAGCTAGTAGAGAAAAATTATTTATACCTGTACTTACGCAGAGCATTTATATTTAGTCTTAGATTTTGGCTCTGAAAACTATAGACTTTTCTTTGAATTCAAGTTTGTTGAGTTAAGTGCCTTAAGTTATACGCACAATCATCACCTATGTATATGGAAAAAACGGTGTGATGACCATTTAAACTGGACTTAAAAGATATGGAAGATGATGAGTCAGTCACGTGTAAAGGTAGTGTATATAATGCCAAAATATAAAAATGTAGCTAGCTACAGATAGCCTGTAGTCATGGAATATAATACCACTTCCTGTATGGCCTTTTTCACTATGCTTACTACTTAGTAAATGCCACTCCATTCAAATAAAAAAGTTCATTTTTGATGACTTATATATTCGTATTGAGAATTCAACTTATTATTATTTTCAAATTACTTTGGGAAGAATTAAAAACCATTTTACCACCTGAGAGTTATGTACTTAATATTAAAAGAGAACATATGTGTAATTATAAATAAGCATGTGATTAACAAAAGTGTGGAAGAACTAATTCTCTTAATTAAGAAATTAAGCTTTCATAGGTATTATTTAGGGCTTGAAAAGCAAGCTAATATGAACTCAAGCTTTGTTTTACATTCCATCATAAATTGTACATACGGTTATTAATAAGCATTAATTTATTCTATTTCCTGAAAATATTTGCTTCATCAATTGTTGTTTTAGCAAGCACTTTATCACAAATATGACAATTCCCTGATGATGTTCTACTAGATGCATAATCAGAATGAGACTCACTGATGATACATTATTCACTGCGATGACACTTTGTAGGAAGAATCTATTAAAAACCAATCTAGAAAACTCAGTAAGTTTTAATTTATGGCTATAAAACTTCATGTGTCCTTATAATTGCTTTACTAACATACTTTATGCAATGTTGTACACAGATTGCTTGGGAACAAAGGAACATAAGCCAGAGGAATAAAATGAATTTACCTTTCCAACTGCATACAAAACAACATAACTTATACCAAAGCCCCAGTGTGGCATTCTTGAATATTCTGTACCAAATGCCAAAGTGGAATCACTGGACCATTCCATAAAAGTAATGGAATGAGAATTCTAAAGCTTACTTGGCACTCTGCTTATCATGATAATGGAACCATGAAAAAAATTCAGGGCAAAACTTCCAAGTGAGAGGTTTTGCTTCTGTTGTTTATTGTTGTTGGTTTTGGGGATTGTTAATGCAATACCCACAGTGTTCAGTGTCCTCGAGTCAAGCTTTCATCCTGCATCTGGTGATTGAAAAGGGGAAGGTCTTTAGTTCAAGACCTGATGAGCATCTTTAAATTTTTAACACATTGATATCTTTCTCTCTTCCTTCTTATTCTCTTCTGCTACACATATTTTAGTTTCACTACAGAATGAGAGTAAAGAAATGATGTGTCTTATCATATTAATAAAATTAGAAAATTACTACTATGTTATAAAAGCTTCAGTTTACATTTTGCTTGTCAATTTGTAAAAAGAAGAATCTTAATTTTACTATATATGTCTATTCACTGAATACTTGAAAATCAAAAAAATTAAAATAATTCTGTTTATTTCTAATGTAAAACAAGTTTTTATGCTATGCTTTTTAGTTTAAAAATAAAACAAGTGTTCTCTGAATAAAATTGTGTTAACTATAGCTCACAGGATTACTTGTATACATTTTAAAAAACAAAATATATATTATGGATATGATATCAAAATGTAATTAAAAATATTTCCAATGAGCCATAAATGCTAATATTAAGGAAGTAAAAATATCCTCATCTAAACAAATGGATTAGTATGTAAAATGCTTTAAATGTGCACTTGTAAATTTAAAAATTTTAAAAATAGCATTAGCTCATAAATCATAGAAGCAGAAAAATATTTGAATTTATAAGTGTAGCTTCTATAATCTTGAAAGTCAAGAAATAAAAGTAAGTCTAGCCACAATTGTGTGTGCAGAAAACATGCTTCTACTCTGCAGGCTGAGGCCATAAGGGAGGCCTAGGTGGGTAATTCCTAGCTTACTCAAAAGATCTGAGCATACTGGTATGTGCCTGTAGTCCCAGACATTTGGAAGGCAAATAGGAGGAATGCAACTGTCGAAGGAAAGAAAGAAAGAAAGAAAAAGAAAGAAAGAAAGAAAGAAAGAAGAGAGAAAGAAAGAAGAGAGAAAGAAAGTGTAATTGATCCCACTTACGGGATTCAATAATGTAATAACATAAAGATATACACACTACATTTTTGAAAAGAGTCTAAAAAGATATCTCAATACATCGAATACATCATATTCTCCAATAAATCTCCTTTGTAATATAAGTTGTATCAGAAAGAGTCAATTCATTTAGGGGAACAGAACAATTCTAGTTAACTAATAACCAACTCAGTAAAGGAATGACTTCCAGTAAGGCAAATCATCTTTCTTCATCATAAAATGGCTAAATTTGGTCTTGCTATAAGATATGAAAGGATCAGTGTGTTTGGGACAGAGTGGAGAGAAGGGAGGGCAGGGGAGAAAAAGGAAAACTCGCAGACATACAAAGCAGTCTGTGTCCTTAGGTCCTGAGCAGCCTCCAGCACATTCTCGGTGACAGCAGTCACTGACGTAGGGTCCATAGCACCTGCCATCACATTGTTCTGCACATACTGTCCTGGTCACTGCAGAAGATAGAAACAGAATCCTGATCAAAGCCGGCCACAAGAGAAATGTCTAAGAGTTTCAGCTGAGAAAAGCTGAATTCTGACGTAGTGATTTAATCAACCCACCATTGATTCAGTTCAGTCATCATTTAATGAATGAAGTGCACAACTAGATCAAAATCTCTAAAATTAATATATACTTTAAAAATTGATACTATTCTTTCTTGTTTTAGCAAATAATTATAGTGCTCTGCAAAAGTCATTCAATTTAACAAGAAAAGAATAAAATCTGAGTTAACTGAAGAAGGCATTTGCTAACTTGTGGACTACAGAATGAGAAATGCCGAATGATGTCAAGTTCACACAATGGATACAGGAAGGCCCTGTGGTAGAAGGCACTCCCAGACACAGATAAAACTTTTAGTAGTCAAAGCAAAAAGGGAAACATAAACTGTTACTTGACGCATGTATTTTTCATGAAGAAAGAGAGAAATGAATAAATGAAAGAAAGAAAGAGAGAGAAAGAAAGAGAAGGAAGGAAGGAAGGAAGAAAGGAAGGAAAAGAAAAGAAAAAGAAAAGAAAAGAAAAGAAAAGAAAAGAAAAGAAAAGAAAAGAAAAGAAAAGAAAAGAAAAGAAAAGAAAAGAAAAGAAAAGAAAAGAAAAGAAAAGAAAAGAAAAGAAAAGAAAAGAAAAGAAAAGAAAAGAAAGAAAGAAAGAAAGAAAGAAAGAAAGGGAAAAAGAAAGGGAGAGGGAGGGAGGATAGGAGGGAGGGCGGGAGGAAGGAAGGAAGGAAGGAAAGAAGGAAGGAAGATGTTAACAAAGAAAGAAAAGAAGAGAGAAGGGAAAAAAGGACAAGAAAGCAAGCAAATATCAGTAAGCACAAAATTTGACAGCATATCAAAGTATTTTAGTAAAAGCAATGTTATAGGCTGCACATCCACAGTATAATAATGAGAGATACAAGTCTACTTATCTCACTTATTCCAAAGACACACTTTTAAAGTATGAATTTCAAAGGACATTTTTAGTGTACCACTTCATGGCTTCTGTATTTCCAGTTTGGCCTTGTTTCTTCCTACCTTTTTAGCTAGTTCTTTTTCTTTTTCTTTTTTTTAATTTAAATTTAATCACTCTATATCTTTATACTGTACAACATGGTTTTTCCCAGCATGAATACAATGCATGTTCATCAAGTGAAAGGCATTACCGTATATATTAACAGATAACTTTTCATTTTTGTGTCTATTAAATGTTTTGTTTGCCATTTTTTCCCTGATGCCCTCCTTTTCACCCTTTATTACTCACTTCTATTAATCATACTCTCCTATAATGTCTCTAATATTTATAGTTGCCTCCCCTGATATTATAACTGCCAATCATTCAGTTTCTGCCATAGGTACACACATTTGGTATATATTAAGTACAGCGATATAGTGTCTGTTTTCATTGTCTTTTTAGAATTAAATCTTCTGTATTTCTCTACTCTATATCAAATGTCAGGGTCTCAATGTTTTTTTGTGACAGTACAGTATTCCATAGAATACAAATGCCATATTTTTCAATCCATTCATCTGTTCTTGGACTTTGGGGTTGATTCCATGTCCTAGCAATTGTGAATAATGCTGCAGTAAACATGGCTGTGCAAGTGTTTTTCTGACTTAGTGTTTTCCTGTCTTTTAGGTAGGTACATTAGAGCGGAATTAGTCATACAGTAGTTCTGTTTATGGGTGTCTGAGGACTCTCCATATAGTTCTCCACATTCTTACCCTAAGTGTAAAAAGATTTCCTTGCCAACACTTGTTATTCTTTATTTTTTAAAATCTTATCCATTCTGACTGGGATTAAGTGGTATTTCATTGTGGTTTTGATTTGAATTTTGCTTATGATAAGGGATGGTGAGCATTTTCTCATATGCTTTTTGGCTGTGTGTATCTCTTTCTTGAAGAGTTGACTGGTCAGCTGATTTGCCCACTTTTAAATTGGATTGATTATTTTTGGCCAGTAAACTGCTTCATTTCCCTGTATTCTCATTCTGGTTATCAGTCCCTTACCTCAGCAAGAGTTTGCAAATACATTCTCCTACTCTGAGAGTTGTCTCCTCTTCACTCTAGTTATTATTTCTTTTGCTATGCAGAGCTTTTTAATTTGGTGTAGTCTATTTTGATGTAGTCTACTTGTCTGTTTTGCAAATTATTTCCTGTACTTTGGTGAGTCTTACTTAAGAAATATTTTCCTACTTCAATGTCTCCAAGAGTTTCCTTGTGTTTTCTTTTTCGTTTTTTTTTTTTTTTTTTTGAGAGGTTTTTGCTGTAGGGCATGTGCGCTCGCCAGAAAGACAGAGAGAGACAGAGAGATAGAAAGTGAGAAATCGCCCCCCAGGGGGGATGGCCATGCCACAATCCCTTCTCCTCCATTATCCTCTCAGGATCTTGGGCACACACGCACACACGCCTGGCGTGAGTTTAAACCACTGGGTCCAGGACTTGAACCACGGTTTACTATGTGGGAGTCCAGCGACATAGCCTTTATGCTAACTGCTGGTCCCTGTCCCCCTCTGTTTTCTAAAAGTAGTTTTATAGTTTGAGGTTTTATTTTTAGATCCTTGATCCATTTTGTGTTGATTTTTGTTAACAGCGAAAGATACAAGTTCAGATTCATTTTTCTACAGGTGGCTATCCAGTTTTTCCAGCACCATTAACTGAAGAGATTTTATTTTCCCTACTGATTATCTTCTGTCCTTTGTCAAAAATCAGTTGTCTGTATGTTTTAGAGTTTATTTCTGAATTCTCTATTATGTTCCATTGGTCTACTTTCCTGTTTTTATGCCAATACCATACTATTTTGATTATCATAGCTTTGCAATATATTTTGAGGTTAGGAAGGGAGATACCTCCTACTTTATTCTTATTGTGCAATGTTGCTTTGGTAATATGGGGCTTTTGATGATTCCAGACAAGTTGGTTAATTTGGGTAGGATTGACAGTTTAATTATATTAACTCTTCCAATACAAAATGGATATCTTTCAACTATTTTGTATTATTTTTCCTTTTTTTTTTAAAGAAAAGTTTTTCATAGTGTTTCTTATAGATGTCTTTTACTTTCTAGTTAGGTTTATTCCTATGTATGTCTCTGGATTTTGTGTGTTTGTGTGTGTGTGTCTATTGTATATGGCGATTCTTCAGTTTATTTATTGTTGGTGTATAAAAATGCAATAGACTTCTGTATTTTGATTTTGTATCCTGCTACTATATTGTACTTGTTTATGACTTTCAGAAGTAGGAAATTTTTTTGTTTTCTATGTATATAATCAACTCTGCAAATACAGATAATTTCACTTATTCTTTTCCTATTTAAATGTATTTTATTTTATTTTATTTTAAAATTTTACTCTGTTGTCTGAACACATTGGCTAGGATTTCCAATACTACATTGACAAGGAGTGGAGAAAGTGGGAAGCCTTGCCTTGTTCTAGATTTTAGTGAAAATAAAAGTTTTTCTCCATTCATTATGATGTTAGCTACAGGTTTCTCATAACCGGTTTTCATTGTGTTGAGGAAAGATCCTTCTATGCCGATTTCATTGAATCTTAATCATAGAGGGATGTATTACTTTATAAAATGCTTTCTCTGAGTCTATTGATATGATCATATAGTTTTCATCTTCTATTTCTATGATGTTTTACATTTATTGTTTTGTGCATGTTGAACTACCCTTACAATCCTAGAAGAAAGTTGGCCTAGTCATGGTGTATAATCTTTTTAATGTGTTGTCAGATATGATTTGCTATTTGTTATTGATAATTTTTTTTTGCATCTGTATTAATTAGGAACATTGGTCTGTAGTTTTCTTTTTTTTTTTTGTTATGTCCTTGTCTGTTATTAGGATCAGAGTGATGAAGACTTCATTGAATAAATTTGAGAGCTTTATAAATTGAAGATTAGGGTTAGTTTTTCTTTAAAAGTTTTGTAGAATTCAGAGGTAAAGCCATTGGGACCTGGGCTTCTCTTTTTTGGGAGATTATTTATTACTGATTCAATTTCTTTGCTTGTTATTAATCTATTCAGGGTTTCTACTTCTTCCTGGTTCAATCATAGTAAAATTTGTGTCCAGAAGTTTGTTCATCACACCTATTTCTTCTTCTTTTTTGGCATATAACCACTCATATTATTCTCCATTTTTTTATATTTATGTTCTGTAGGTTGCAATGTTTGTTTCATTGATAACGTTTTTAAAAATCTGGTTCCTTCCTTTGCTCTTCTTGATTAACCTAGCTAAAGATGTGACCATTTTGTTTATTGTCTCAAAGAGCCAGCTTCTGGTTTCGTTTATTTTCTATATAGTTCTTTTATTCTCTATTTTATTTATTTCTGCTCACCTTTATGACATTTCATGTTTCTTTGTATGTTTTGAGTTTGTTGTTGTTGTTTTTCCAGTTCCCTGAGATGTGTCATTAGTTTGTTTGTTTGCTACTTTTCTGTTTTTTCTTGTGGGGGTTATTTGGTATGAACTTCCTACTTCTGGTTGCTTTTCCTATGTCCTATAGGTTATAAAAACTTCTTTGTTCAATATTATTTGTTTCAATGAGTCTTTTTTTTTCAGTCTTAATTTCTTCAGTGGTCGTAGAGAGAGACATTCAGGAGTAGGTTGTTTAGTTTCCATGTGTTTGTATGTTTTCCAGGATTCTTTCAGTAGTTGATTTCAAGTTTGATTCCACTGTGGTCAGAAAAGGTGTTGAAAATAGTTTCTATCCATTTGAATTTGTAAGGGCCTGTTTTGTGCCCTATCATGTGGTTGATCTTCTGAAATGCTCTATATGAGAGTGAGAAAACAGTGTATTTTGTTGTTGTTAAGTGAAATGTTCTATAGATGTCTGTCAAGCCCATTTGATTTATGGTGTCATTCAAATCTTGTATCTGTTTGTTTTTTATATAGATGATCTGTCCAGAGGAGATAGTGGGGTGTCAAGGTTCCCAATGATTACAGTGCTGCAGTCTCTCTCCCTTTAGGTCTAACATG